ACACCTTTAATCCCAGCACTCAGGAGGCAGAGGCAGGCGGATCTCTGTGAGTTCAAGGCCAGCCTGGTCTACATAGTGACTCCAGGCCAGCTGGAGCTACAGGGAGACCCTGTCTCAAAAAGACCGAAAAAAAAAAAAAAAAAAACTTTATATGTTCCATATTGCCCAGATTATTCCCGTATTTTAAAAATAAGTAAAATATGCATGTGGTTTACGTTTTTACAAAGTCCAGAAAGCTACAATGAAACATGAGTCTTCTCCTATCCCTTCTACTCAGTGCTTTTTCTTAGAGAAATCTGTCATTAGTGATTTCCAAAGAAAAAGTAAAAGATGCAAAACACAATAAACATGTCCTTTGTTGTGGACAGCACAGAAGGGGTCATTTGATAAGTAGTTATATGTTTTTAGCACAAAGTAGAGGCTCCCAGCTTTCCCCCTTGGGAGTCCGTTAACTGAAAGTCCTACCAGTCCTCACCCCTGAGCACTCCTGCTTCAGTTTACCCTGCTACCTAGACTCACCCCAAGGCAATGACACAAAATATAATTCCACTACTAGATTGTGTAGTCACAAGATGGTAATAGCTTCCTCTCTGTTTACCTACCTCGTTCTTTTAAATTGCTCCATAGTAATTTATAGAGTGCATGTGCCATTGTTTAGTTAGTCTCCTATTTATGGACATTTAGGTAGAATGATAATTTCATGATCACATTTACAGATTAAATTAATTCATCCTTAAGAGAAAGATTCATATAAAGGAAGAATTATCTGGTTAATGTTGATAGAAGATTGCCAAGTGGTTAACTTGAAGACTTTTTTTTTTGTCTTTTTGAGACAGGGTCTCCCTGTAGTCCCAGCCGACCTGAACTCACTGTGTAGACCAGGCTGGCCTTGAACTCACAGTGATCTGCCTGCCTCTGCCTCCCAAGTGCTGGGACTAAAGTCATGTGCCACCACACCCAGTGATTTTTTTTTTTTTTTTTTTGTCTTTTTAGGCAGGGTCTCCCTGCAGCCCCAGCTGACCTGGAACTTACTATGTTGTAGATCAGTCTAGTCTTGATGTCACAGAGATCTGCCTATCTCTGCCTCCCAAGTGCCGGGTTTAAAGGCGTGTGCCATCATGTCCGACTAAGATTATTTTTATAGCATGGATTCATTTCCTGCCTCTCCCAAAATTAGAAGACTGCCTGAGTCCTCCCAACCTCCTTTTTAGCCTTCTTGCTTTGGACTGTTTCCCTCTCCCCAGTTATCCATACCCAGGCAGACTTGGGTTACAGTTCCCTCCTCTGCACTTTCAAAGCCCTTTTGTACATCCCTCTATTAAAGCAGCCAAGATGTGAGACTTTCATGTGGGACAGGACATGTATATCACCATCTCTATATTTCCCCTGCACCTAGGTGCTCCATTCACTTGAGGATTGTGAAGAAAACTTTCTTGTCAGATGCATTGCTCACAGCTCTTAGGCAGCTTCTTTACTTGAGTCTTCTAGTTGCTTGTCATTAGATAGAAATGCTGAATATTGAGGGCTGGAGAGATGGTTCAGCACTTAAGAACACTGGCTGTTCCTATGGAAGACCGGGTTTGAATCTCAGCACCCATATGGCAGCTAACAACTGTCCGTAACTCCATTTCCAGGGGATCCGACACCCTCTTCTGTCCTCTGTGGACATTGTATGACACAGGTGTACTTATATACATGCGGGCAATACACTCATACACATAAAAATAATAAATAAAATATCTTTTTATCTCTTTTTTCTTTTTTTTTCTTCTTTGGTCTTTTTGAGACAGGATCTCCCTGTAGCCCCAGATGTCCTGGAACTCACTATGTAGACCAGGCTGGCCTCGAACTCACAAAGAACTGCCTGCCTCTGCCTCCCAAGTGCTGGGATTAAAGGCGTGCACCACCACACCTGGCAAAAATATCTTTTTTTAAAAAAAAACAAAGACAGAAATGCTGAGTATCTCTCTGCTCTCTAGGCCGAGCTTCGTATATAGCAAAGCTTGCTCTGGTTTTGAACATTGTGAGAGGCGAATATATTTGGAGAGCTCAGTGAGCCGGAGTAAAGCCTCCTCGTTCTTTCCATGGGTCACCTATTTCATTTTATGGCCCTCTTGCCCTCCTTCTACTGCCAAAACCACCCATTTGCCCCATCTGATTGGCAGATGATGATGCCAAATACAATTCTGCCAGTAAGTTACTGTGTATTTAGAAGTAGATAATAATGTCTTAGCAGCTGCTAATAATAAATCTTCTACATTCAAAAGTTTACTCAAGCAAAACCAAAAGCCCTATTCAACCAGATAATTGAAGCCACTGTCACAAAAGTTATTGAATCAGGAGAGAAGACTGTTAAAAATAATTATTTGATGGCTATTTTTATCCCTTTGAATTTTATTCCCCTTGGTTTGAGGCAGTCACACCTTGATGTGGCCTTTTAGAAAAATACTGAAGCTCTCTATTACTTGCCCAGCCTGCCTTCTTTGTACTTGAGCCTGACTTATGTAAACCATTGAATTTGATGAGAATTTCCCCTAAGTGTTACACTCAAGCCTATCATATATTTGGAAGGCTCACAGATGTGTTTGCACATAAAAGCTTATTGGGTGTGGATAATTTGCACACTCAAACTTAGGTTTTAACTCAAAATTTTCTAGTGAATAGACTTTTCACATGTTTTCTGTCTCTTTTGGAAATTTACGTTTATTTTAACCTAACTTTAAATTTTCTTACTTCCTGGCATTAGCTAGCTCCTCTTTTTGAAAATGTGTATGAGGGAAGACTCAAGATGGTCTGGTTTGCTTTTATAACAAACTCCAGATCTCACTTGCTAAAGCAGCCCTGGTTTCTTTTCTGCCTATGATAGGTGTCTTTAGTGAGTTAGTTGGAGCCTCTGCTTCCTGTCATCCTTATTCCAGAAGCCTGGCTGAAGGAGCAAGCCTATGTCTGGACATTGTCTATGACCATGTTAAAGAGAGCCACATAGATTCTTAAGGCTTCCACCAAGAAATGATATGGTTCACTTCTGCTCACATTTCATTGGCCAGAACAAGTTGTGTACCCATAATGTGACTCCAAGGGAACAAAGGCAGTAAGTAGAATTCTACCTCCATGTATAAGAATGAGAACTACTTGGTGAGCAGCGCGGAGAACTACCACAGGATCTTAGGTCTTTGTAGGCAGAGTTACTCCTTGGCACAAAGTATTGGTAGGAGGCTGATCGCAAAGTACCTAGGCATGTGGATTTTGAGTACCCAAGCATGAATGTGCAACATATCTCCACCCTTTAGTTTCCTCATCTGAAACATTACTACCTTACTAATTATTGTAAAGATTAAATGAGATAATCTTACAAAACCAATGACTTTCATAGAGTAAATACTAAGTCAATCTTAGTACTTTCCACTGTGAATAATTAGATCTTTCCACCATGGGAGTACTTACAAGCATGAATTATTTAAACATTGCTGTATAAGTAATTCTCCCATATTTATTTTAAAAGACACATTACAAAAGATCTACTACTTTCTTGTTATTCTTCCCCCTTTTTCTTTCCTTTTAAAATATATACCACCAAGCTGGGCATACCTTTAATCCCAGCATTTGGGAGGCAGAGGCAGGCTGATCTCTGAGTTCAAGGCCAGCCTGGACTACATAGTGAGTTCTGTGAGTGAGTTCTTCCACAGAGAGACCCTGTGTCAAAAAAGACGGGGTTAGAGGGGCGGTATATAAAACCAAACCATAGCCCAAAAAGGGAAGAAGGGACAAGAATCAAGGAAGTACCTTTTAGGCCTCAGGGTGGGAATGGTGAGAATACCACTTAGTTGGATGGATCACTTTTGCTATGATCCTTAAGACTCCTGTCCTAGAATTCTTTTCCTGCCTTTAAGAGAGGAAAATTCACCTTTATTCACCTTTAAGAGAAGAAAATTTTAGGTAGTTTAGAAAGTTTAGGTAGTTCAGCTGGTAGAGTGCTTGCCAAGCATGCATAAAACCCTGGGTTCAATCTCTAACACCACATAAAACAAGATGTGGTCGCACACTACTCCTAGCATTCAGGAGATGAAGGCAGGAGAATCAGGAGTTCAAGGTCATCGTCAGCTCCATAATTCAAGGCCAGCCTAGGCCATGTGAGCCTGTATCTCCAAAGAAAGAAAGAAAGAAACCAAAGAAAACCAGAAATCTGGGCATGGTGGCACATGCCTTTAATTCCAGCACTCAGGAGGTAGAGGTAGACAGATATCGATGAGTTCAAGGCCAGCCAGGGTTATATAGTGAGATCCTGTGTCCAAAAAAAAAAAAATGAGCCAGGCTTGACGGTGCACACCTTTAATCCCAGCACTTAGGAGTCAGAGACAAGTAGATCTCTGTGGGTTTGAGGCCAGCCTGGTCTACATAGCGAGTTCCAGGCCAGCCGGAGCTACAGGGAGACCCTATCTCAAAGACCAAAAAAAAAAAAAGATAAAAAGGAGAACTTTGGGTGTACATGTTGTGCCCAGTTCACGAGACCCCAAAGACCACCAAGGAGCTGACTGATGCAAACACACAAGGGTTCTTTTATTGTTGCAAGCTTAAGCTTGGGTCCACTCTGTCATCGACTCAGCGGATCTCAGATGTGAGACCCCTTGCTTTGGGTGACAGAGGTTTTTATAGGTTTATTTCAGCAAGGTCAGCAAGTAGGGGAGTAAGGGGTCTTCAGCCTGGCAAACATCTGATTGGTTGCAGCCCAGTGCCAAACCATAAACTGCTGGCTTCAGGAAATCTGAAAAGATATCTGGACGTTTAGGTTCCTTCCTGTCCCTTGTTAATTGACTGTTGGCAGGGGAGTTGTTCTCTGTCTGTTCCAAGTATTGTGGTTTTTCTTGGAACAGGGCCCAGGGCTGGGTCAGTCCTATGGAGGTTTTATCCAAGATGGAGTTACTCAGGTCTCTCATACACATAGTAGCTCTTTTCATACCCCACCAGTTGACTTGATGGATATCGTCTGTGTTTTGCTGTAGCTTAGAGTCAAGATCTCCACTGAAGTTGGAATCACAAATGTTGATCTTTCTACTGTGGATAAGGATCAGAGCATTGCACCAAAAACCACCCGGTAAGTGGGATGCTACATGGGCACTGGGAACCCCACCCAATCTTCAGAGCTGAAAAGAGCATGTGCAGGCACCATGTCCCTCCTGGTGGCATTTCTGTGGTGGTAGTCCTCCCACTCTGCCCCAAATTCAAGACACTATACTCCCATTGATACTGCTCTAAGGATTCTGCTGAGCATCTAAGTAGATTTGGTAGTTATTTATACAAGTCAGTTCTTGAGCCAACTCTCTTACCTTCTACATTGAGATAAGGAACTTACTCAGGATTATAAGTCTTGATTGAGCCAACTGTGACATTCATATTATGTAGCTCAGATGACAATTGTTTAAGTAAGGAAATATTCTCAATGAAGAAAGCAATGTATTTATATTTTAGTGCAATCCTTTTTTTTTTTTTTTTTTTTTGATCTGTTTGAGACAGAGTCTCCTTATAGCCCCAGCTGGCCTGGAACTCACTGTGTAGACCAGGCTGACCTGCTGGGATTAAAGGTGTGCGCCACACCTGGCTATTTTCTTGCAATCTTTTCTTCAAAGTCCTGAATTTGCTTTTGGTATGGCCTCATGGCAACTTTCTCTGGCCCCTGCTGGGTCTGAAATCAGTTAGAAAGCCTTAGAACTAGCACTAAGACTACACACACACTTCATTCTTGGAAAACATTGCTAATGAGTCATAGCACTTGTTCCTGCTTAACTAAGACACAGCTTCAGAATCTTTTCTTTCTTTTTTTTAAAAAATAGTTCATTTTTTTGCGTATGAGTGTATTGCCTGGATGAATGTAAGTGTACCTGTGTTGTGCAATGCAAGCACATCAGATCCCCCGAACTGAATTTATGCACAGTTTTAGCCCCCATGTGGGTACTGGGAATCAAACCCAGGTCCTCTGTAAGAGCTGCAAGAGTAGCCAGTGTTCTTAACTGCTGAGCCGTCTCTCCAGCCCCTAGAATCTTCTTTTAGGTAACCATTAACAATTGATCAGAGCTGACCAGATCGCCTAATAAAGCCCATTTTTCTGCCTCCCCTTGATCTTTTTTTGGGGAGGAGCTCATCTGTATCTCTGGCTTTAGTTCAGATTCCAACATGGAATGGCTATAGAGGCAAATGAACCCTGAGACTGTTTTGAAAGTAGAGGATGTAAGCTGGAGACTGGAAGTCAGCCTCACTCCTTTAAGTAGAGCTGAACTTTCTGTCTCTGACTTGATTAATACTGAAGTGATATTGGAGATAAGAGCAGTTATTTGAGAATGCACTGAAATAATATCTATAAAAGTGCTTTTGCAGCCAGGCTTGGTTGCGCACACCTTTAATCCCAGCACTCCGGGAGGCAGAGGCAGATGGATCTCTGAGTTCAGGGCCAGCCTGGTCTACATTGTAAGTTTCAGCCCAGCTGGGGCTGTAGGAAGACCCTGTCTCAAAAAGAACAAACAAACAAAAGGTGCTTTGCAGAGTTTAGTTCTCTGTAGAAATGAAGAGTTGGTCTTCATGAATAAATATAAACCCAGAGTATGAAACAAAGCCAGGTGTGAGCTCTGTAACCATTTAGCGTATTAATCCCTTGGCCACCTTTCCCTTAAGTTCCAGGAGAGAGGCGTGGACAGAACAGTTTTCCTCATCAAGTCTGCCTTTTAAGGAAAATGACTTTTTAAACCCAATTTCAGGGCAGAAAAATAAATATAAGAAATAAAGATTAAAAAAAAAAAGTTCAGTGTTTCCTTTTTTCCTTTGCATCCCATTCTCCTAGCATGTCTACTGACCTCACATGCTGTTAGCATCAACCCACAATTATTTCCCTGCAGTTCTGCCAGCCCTATAGAGGTGCATGTGGGCTCCCAGGCACCTGAGTAGATTTGGTTGAGAGCATAGATCATTGAAGTAAAAGCTTGGAGATACAAACTCTGCATTGAGCATTTTCCCCAGACCCTAATTAAAGTTTTCTCTCTACTTTTCTCAGTCCTGACTTGAGGCTGGGAATGTTGCTTAGTGGTCTGGTCAAACTTTCTAGTTGACCTTGCTTAGCCTGTTGAGGCGATGGATTCCGTCTGCAGCACCACCAAAAAGAAAACCAAACAAAATTTTTTCAGTCCTGACTTTATTGATCCACTTTGCCTCTAGACCAGAGACACTTCTGTACGTTAGTTGATCCATCACAGCAGTAGTAAGCTGGGGAAGGGAAGATTTGGCAATAACCTGAAGGTTATATCCTTGCCTGTTCTTAGATCCTGTCTGAAGACTAAGTCTATAATGTCTCTTTTAGGGTGACCTACCCAGCCAAAGCCAAGGGCACATTCATCGCAGACAGCCACCAGAATTTCGCCTTGTTCTTCCAGCTCGTAGATGTGAACACTGGTGCTGAGCTCACCCCTCACCAGGTCAGGACAAAGCCCCTACTGCTTTCCCAGTACAGATGCAAGTGGACTTACTTGCAGACCTTGCTTCTGTTTCTCATGCTGCAGCTGCTGTACCTGTGCCCTTAGGGCCACAGTCCTAGCAGTTCCTTGCTTTTCTCCCTTCTACTTCAAACTTCAGGCAGCTTAGCCAGGGCCCTTTGTTCAAGCTAACTGACCTTTAAACACTTTAATCCCTCAGCTTTTCCTCATTCTTTCCCAGAAAGACATTTGCCAACCACATATCACCAGGAAAGAAAATGAAGAGAAGAAATGAGAAGACTGAATTGGGAGGATTAGGGTTGGGCAGGGATATCTAAAGAAATTTTAACTGGACCCTCTTCTCTGATTCCTTTAGAAATCTGTGTCTCTAAGACTTCTCAGGTAGATGTGGAATTTTGCCATTAAGTATGGCAGCACTTGCACTTAACTATTCTAGGAGGAAGATGAGGCATCCAGGCTCCTGAATCCCACTTCTAGACAAAGCTAGTATAGTCGGGATGCTCCACCTCAGTGGGCTCCTTCCTTCCCCTAACCATTTGATGTGTAGAATCACAAATGAGATCTATGTTTTTTTGTGTAGGTCCAGCACTAGCTGTGTGACCATGGCAACTGATTTAATGCTCTTGCCTTGTGATCTGTAAGTTGGAGCCACCCACCTGCCTTGTTGAATTCTTTATTTTGAAACCCTTGAAAGAAAAGCTGTGAGTGGATATTAAGTTTTGTTGCAGTTCTAATACACATTGACATGAAACGGTTTCCTGTGCCACAAAAGGGATGAAGTGATTAGGCCTAAGAACATTTTAGTGAGGCTAGTTAGCTATTGTTTGGTTAGTGGCTCTATTTCCCAGGCTTTGCACCACAGGCTTTGCATACATTTTTACAAAATCTTCATATAAATGTACCCCATGTAGAAGTTAATCTTTCTGCCTTAAAGATGGAGAAATCAAGGTACAAGGAGGTTAAGTAACCCGCTCAGCTCTTAAGAAATGGAGCCAGGTCTCTTCTTCAGAGCCATGTTCTGTATGATCTGCTGCTCTGTTCGTTAGAACTCTGCCTTGCTACGATACTCAAGCCTCCTCTGCTAAACCCTTAGCTGGAGGCACTAAGAAATTGAAGATGGGACTCTTCCAGTTCTACCTCATTTCCCTTTTCACTGTCTGGTGAAGAAGTTAATTGGGTAGCAAAGTGGCTGAAGCCTGGCAGGAAGAAGAAATTGCAGCAATAGTAAAGGGCTTAAATCATCACAAACTGGGCATTCAGCCTCCAAGGCATCAAGAATTGACTGGACACCTAAGTTCAGTTTTTCTCTTTGCACTAGCAAAAAGTTGTTTCTGAAGTAAGAACTAGGATGGGATGGTCACTTCTTCCCCTCTTCTGAGCAGGTCTGATCCAGAGCTAACTGATGAAAGAGCAGCAGCACGAGTGCTTGGCTGATGCAGTGTTGGCCCCGCAGGGATTTTTTTTTTTTTTTCTTTTTGGTCTTTTGGAGCGGGGGCCCCCCAGCAGCCCCGCCTGTCCTGGCACTCACTAGGAAGCCCAGACTGGCCTTGAACTCACAGAGATCCGCCTGCCTCTACCTCCCGAGTGCTGGGATTAAAGCCGTGCGCCACCACGCCTGGCCCCCACAGGGATTTTTTTAAATGATCTAATGAAAAGTTGAGTTCCTGTTCTATCTAGACATTTGTTCGACTTCATAACCAGAAGACTGGCCAGGAGGTGGTGTTTGTTGCTGAGCCGGATAACAAGAATGTGTACAAGTTTGAACTGGACACCTCTGAAAGAAAGATCGAGTTTGATTCTGCCTCTGGCATCTACACACTCTACCTAATCATTGGAGATGCCACTTTGAAGAACCCAATCCTCTGGAATGTGGTATGTGTCTGAATGCTCCCTCAACCTGAGTCAGGGGAGGGCAGCTGCACTACAGCTTGAACAGACAGCTGCTTTTGAGGGCACAGGTCTCTCCTTCCTAGCCTTGCTCTGGGGCCCTGCGTCCTGCTGTTCGGTTAGTCATGCACTGTGGCTCAGCACATAGGAGATGTGTAATAAGTAATGATTGAACAAATTAAATTAAGTTTGCTCTCATGAGTTTACATTCCATGAATTTTTATAAATATTTATACTGGAAAGAGATTCAGGGCACTGTGGAGGATGTGTAAATGAAGAGATACGGTCCTGGCCTTTGAGATCTATTTAAGCCTTGAAGGGGAATGAGATTTGAATTCTGGTGACAGTTCGTGGTGACATAGGGCTGTGGATTATAGATGTGCAAAATGCTAATAAACTGACCAGCACTTGTGTGGCATATTACAGCTCACGTGGTACCCTTCCCCTATAAGCTTCACTTTTTTCTTTTTTTCTTTTTTTTTTTTTGATAGTTCTGATGCCAGAAAACGTCTTGAAAGACATCTTGACTTTGGAGCAAGGAATTCAGAATAGTATCTGCTTGGAATAGTATCTGGGGTACATGTGGCACAGCCTCCAGAGAAGCCCAGCTTATGTGTTAGGAGTAATTCAGTTCTTCTGAGGCTTGAGCCTGGTAGAAGAGGAGGAAGTGCTGGGGTGGCAGAGGGCAGATACAGCATCACATGGGACTAGGCCTCATGTAGGACCAAAGGACAGCTGCCTGTTTCCTTGTTGTGTTCATGATTCTTTTACTCCTCCTGGACTTCAGGGCACCTTTATCCAAAATGCATTTTCATTTCTCATTCTTTATATCTGTAAAGATTAAATCACACTTCCCAGGGACACCACACAGTTTTGGTGTCAGTCAGAGTACCAGCTGGAATTTTGTATTAAGCAGTTCTATGGGGCTTTTTCTATCATACTGGTAGAGAATTGGTAACCTTGCTCTAAAAGGCACTTTCAGCAAATACTTGACTTGTTTTTGAGATTTTTTTACTGCCTCCATTAGTCAGCTAATGGCTCAGAAGTGACTGGACTGTGTGAGCATTTTCAGTCATGGTCATAGACAGGAGTTGAGGACAATCATGCTGCTGAAGACTTCTCATCCTCCTCTCTGCCCTATGCCTCTAAAAACTGTTCTTGCTTTTCAGGCTGATGTGATTATCAAGTTCCCTGAAGAAGAAGCTCCTTCCACTGTCCTGTCCCAGAACCTTTTTACCCCAAAACAGGAAATTCAGGTATAGTCCATTGGTGTTATCCACTAAGCCTGGAGGAGAGATGGGCCCAGTGATAGAGGAAGGGCAGCAAATCCCTGGACTGTAGCTCTAGCCTTTCAGCCTTTTCGCGTGGGTACTTTTATGGTTTGAACCTTGCCACTCTGGGAATTGGGCAGGGCAAATAGTAGTCTATCCTCCAGCTGGACATACAAACGTAGAGGCCCCACTCCCACCCCATGGGAGGTCCCAGAGAGCACCAACCACTGCTGGGCAGTCTCTAGCACCGTGTAACTTGTCTCTATGTCAGTAAATTGTAAATCATCAAGTCAGTCTCTGTCTCTACATAAATTGGACTAAAGTGGGAAAACTCACCTAGAAGAACAGGTTCATCCTTGTCTCTCCTGGGCCTTTTTCCTTTCATTGCAACACAAAATGAGAACGCTCTACCCAGTCAGTCCATAGAATGCTGTGAGGACCAAATGGGTAGAGAAAGAAAGGCTTTAAAATGTCTCTGAAACCCTTTATAAAATAAACACAACAAGCCCAGCATGGTAGCACGCACCTTTAATCCCAGCACTCAGGAGGCAGAGGCAGGCAGATGTCTATGAGATTAAGGCCAGCCTGGTCTACATAGTGAGTTTCAGGTAAGCCTGGGCTGCAGGGAGACTCTGTCTCAAAAAGACAGATAATAAAAATAAAAAATATATGCAACAGTTGTTAAACAGTGTGGGTGCTGGTTAAGGAAAATGAGATGAATCTACTCAGTGGACTACTTTAATAGTCATAAGACCTGGCTATAAAGTAGTAACATGGAAACCCACTTATGAGTAAATGTGAAGTGTTAAACACCGGCTTCTTGCTCCCATTGCACTGCTGAAATCGTGGACAGTGGTCAGGTGTGGTGTCCCCTGCTTATAATCGCAGCACTGGCAAGGCTGGGATAGGAGAGTCATGAGTTCCAAGTAGTAAAATACAGGATAAGGGCTTAAAGAGTAGAGTGGAAGGATTCTTTTTAAATCCTTCCATGTTGTTATGGCATTGTATAGGAATGTGAAATACAGTTACATGACAGGATTATCTATGATGATGAAGGGGGCTAGATGAGCTACGGGCAGCAGCCACTATTGATAGCGTTAGGAATCCCTTAAAAGCAGTGGCAGCAAAGAGGAGCCAAGGTGAAAATTTAGGGCCAGGAGCTTCAAGCAAGAGCTGGGTTAGTTGAGCATCAGCAAGTAGAAAAGAAGCCATAGCTCTACACTGAAGGAAAAATCTTTAAAAGGTTAGGAGTAGCTCATTTGTTCCTACAGTATCTTTTACAAGCACAGTAGAGTGATCCAACTCTGTAGCTGGAAACTGCGGAGGCAAAGAGTAAAGTGACTTGCCACTGGTTTCACAGTCAAATGTATCCATTTGGGCCTAAGTAGAGTCTCTGAACTCTTACGTCATTGCTCTTCACACTAGCTCATGCTGTTGAAGTAAGCTGCTCAGAATTTGTGTCTGATTGCTCAGGAGAAAATGTCAAACAAATATCAGGACTGCTTATTTGACTTTCTGGTCTCATTCTAGAAGTAAATCAGAACAAGGGAGAAGTTTTGTTCAGGCCATCCCTAGAGCTGTGTTGAAGGAATAAAGGAGTGAGTTTGAGTTGGAACCATCTGTAGTGAGGCCCTGTTCAATTTTAAAGTCAGTTGGAGTTACTGCCAGTTGGCCATATGTAGCAGGATAGTAACATACAATCTAGGAACCCAGAAGCATTGTGAAGTCCTCCTTGAGTGTGTCACACAGGCCATCTCTAGGCCTGGGCCTCCTCTTTGACACAAGCCAGATGCCCCTTGATAGACTCTGTTCTCCAACATCTAAATGGCAGTGAGTCTTTGAGGTAGAAGTTGGCCAGACAGTGACTGAGACCATGGTAGTGTCCTGGGAAGGGTGGCCTCCAAGTTCAGAAACCATCTTTGAGAAGAGCCATAAGGCCAAGTGACCACTTGTTACCAAAGGCTCAGCTTCTGGGAGGCATTTTCGCTTCATGATTATTGGCATTTTGGTCTCTGGTATGCATGGCAGCCCCTCCTGGGAGAAGGGCACGTTTTGAAGTCTTTTTGGTGTTTTTCTTGGCAGCACCTGTTCCGAGAGCCTGAGAAGAGACCCCCCACGGTGGTGTCCAATACATTCACAGCTCTCATCCTCTCACCCTTGCTCCTGCTCTTTGCACTGGTGAGTCACCATAATTAGCATGGGCAGTGTGTCTGGCTCTAGGCATGGCATGGCAGATATAGCCATTCCAAAAGGGTCTTTGTGCTCTGTCCTGAGCCTAGCTCTGGAGGGGACCAGCAGCTGTATCTTAAACTGATGGTCAGAAAGTTTCAGAATGACCAAAATTCCCCACTCTGGGTGAGCAGCCAAATAAACCCATCCATTAACAAGGGAGCATGAGAAAGTTCCTTGTAGCTACTAACAGTGACAAGAGTATATAGTCTGAGATGCTGTGGAGGAGTGTTCAGATGAGATCAAGTGTGAAAAAAGCAAGGTCAGTGCTGTTAGCTATCAGAATGGAGAACAAGCTGTGAATTCCAGCTCTGCTGGGAGCAGAAAACTGGAGTGAACATAAAGTCCTCTTAACAGCAGTGTTATTAATCCACCCCTGCAATGGAGTGAAGTGCAGGTTGTTGATAGATTGGTAGGTCTGTACGCAGCTGTAACACAGTGTTATTGAAGGAGGAGAGCAACAAGAAGGGTAGTGTGTTTAGTGTGGTCCTGTTTTGGAAAAAGTTCAGCAAATTTAACACCCCCCCAAAAAAATTAGCTCTTACTTTTGGAAATTTACCTCTGTTTTACATCAATTGGTTGATTTTAACAAAAGGAGTATTGATTGATCTACATCTAGAAAGCGTGCCACAAGCTTTCATAAAGCAGACCTGGTATTAAGTGATCAGAGTTTGAGAATTTCAGAAGGCACAGCACCTGTAGTGAAAGCCTGCCTCTACCAGCCTGCCCGCAGGCTTATGGTACTAATTCTTAGAAACCTTAGTGGAAGTGTCAGTTCCTCAAAAATGCAATTTCTGACCTTTCAGTTCCAAGATTTCACCTGTTTTAAACTAAAAGACTTTGTCGTCATTAAAAATAATGTTCAGGTTTGAGTTACTCGAGCACAAGACAGAGGGAAGAGTTTTTCCTGAGAACTTACATATTTTTAAAATTTTCTTTTGGCCTTTTTGAGACAGGGTTTCCCTGCAGTGAGGCTAGCCTGGAACTTCCTATGTAGACCAGGCTGGCCTTGAACTCACATAAATCCGCCTGTCTCTGCCTCCCAAGTGCTGGGACTAAAGGCATGTGCCACCATGCACGGCTCCCTGAGAACTTATAATAGGGTAGCTGCCACTTGGAAAAATTCCGTCTTTCTATTATGCATGAACTTTTAAGCCTTAGGGCCTTTCATTGGGTTAGTGTTGGCATGGTATGTGTTGCCAGTCTTTCAAGTTCTCATGTCTCTCAATTTATTTCTCCATCATTCAGTGGATCCGGATTGGTGCCAATGTCTCCAACTTCACTTTTGCTCCTAGCACCATTATCTTTCACTTGGGACATGCTGGTAAGTGTCCCATGCTGCTAATTCCATTTAACCTCCTCTGACATTTTGCCTGCTCATGCAAAAGCCCTATTAAGTAGACCCACAACCTATTAACTGTAATGGCTTAATAGCATAACATTTCCCTCTTCCTACTAGCCTTTTAGGACAGTTAATATGATGATAAACCTGTTTGGCTCATCAGTTTAGAACAGCTATCATTATATTGGGCCTCATTGTACTGGGAGGCTGTTGGCAGGCCATTTACCCTCATTTAATAGCCCAGTTCATTTCCAGAGATTACTCACTTATCATAGCTTTACACTGAGCCGTCTTCCTGTATGAAGATCATTAATGCAGTTTCCAAAGGTTATCTTTCTCCACCACATCGATCTTCACATTTGCTGGGGGCTCTGTCTGGACATTTATCGAAAACAGTCCTTTTCCGATAAGACACACCGTCCTGCGTTGTTCTTTTGAAAACGTAGGACCTAAACGGTCTTAACATGACAAGACAATAAACTCACAGATCAGTTAGGCATTCTGAACCTTTGCATCTCACTGGGAACTTCAACATTTTTAATTCCTTTGCTTTTTGCAGAAGTCATTATCTCTACATCCATAGTACATAGTTTCTCAAGGGGTCCACAGAAGAATTTCTTTGACATTCCAGGCAGATGTGTGTCTGGATTTTTCTGGGGAAAGAGAGACTGTAACTGTGATCAGATTCTCACAGTGGCCCATGACCTCAAAAATGCTTAAGTGCCCCTGTGGTAGTTCATCTGTCATCCTCTGGGCAGAACTGGCAGGATGACCTTTCTCACCCGCTTAGTTACTGGACTTGAGTGATAGCCCTCCTGGGTCAGACTGTGAGCACAACCTGAATAGAAATGTGTTTAGAGCCACAGCTTTCTTGCTAATGTGCTTTTGTGTGCATTTCCTTGTTTATTTCTCTTTATTCAACCTTGCTGGGGGTGATTAGGGCAGGAAGTATGAACCATTTGACAGGTGAGAGAATTTGGACTCAGAAACTAAGCAGCTGGTAAGGGTAGAGCTTAGACCAAAACCTAAGGCTCTAAGTGCTCAGACTGAGCTCTTTCTACTGAGCCTTTTCCCATAGGCCTTGTTACTTGCTTCCCAACCACAGTGACAAGTCACCTTTAATATGGTTCCAGTGAAAAGGAAATTACTAAACCTTTAATCACCGCACTTGGGAGACAGAGGCAGATGGATCTCTGTGAGACTGAGGCCAGCCTGGCCTACCTAGCAAGTTCTGGGCCAGTTGGGGCTACAGGGAGACCATTTCTCAAAAGGAGAGAGAGAGAGAGAGAGAGAGAGAGAGAGAGAGAAGGGGAGGAGAGGAGAGGAGAGGAGAGGAGAGGAGAGGAGAGGGAGAATAAATTACTCATTTAATTTCACCCTGAATACTTTCATTAAGAATTTGAAACATGAGAGTGGAGAGACAGCTTAGCAGTTAAGAGCACTGGCTGCTCTTGCAGAGGACCTGGGTTCGGTTCCCAGCACCTACATGGAGGCTAATAATGGTCTATAACTCCAGTTTCAGGAGATCTAACATCTTCTGGCCTCCATGGGCACTGCACACGCGTGCTGTACTCACATACATGCAGGCAAACACACACACATAAAATGAAAATAAATTTTTTTTAAAAGAGAAGAAAATAATTTGGAACATAAAATAGTCCCAAATATTATAAAGTAAAAACAAAATAAACACATGAAGGAAGCAGAGAGTAGACGGGAGCAGAACTGTGGATCAGGGTAAAGTAGCTGAGGTCAGATCTTTTACCTCTAGATGTTTTGGTGGACAAGACTCAGAGGCAAGTATATTGAGTCATCTGATTTCTGGCATTGAGATAAAAGAATTAAACAAAAATGAAAATAGAGACCTTTTTATGACCCAGCAGGCCCTGTTCCTAATCCCCTTCCCCCAGGACACTGTCACTGCTTCATTTAATTGGATGTCTTGATACTTCTTGTAGCAATGCTGGGGCTCATGTATGTCTACTGGACTCAGCTCAACATGTTCCAGACTCTGAAGTACCTGGCTGTGCTGGGCAGTGTAACATTTCTGGCTGGAAATCGGATGCTGGCCCAGCAGGCAGTCAAGAGGTAAGGCTGGGGATGGAATGAGCTACAGGGTGGGATAAGAGATGTTTGTGTCTTGGCAGTGCCAGCCCAGCTCTGAAACCAAGGATATGTGGCAGCATGATTCACATCCTTGTGGGAAGTCTAAAACCTTCATCCAGCCTGTTATAGAAGCAATAAGACTTAAATAAATAAGAAAGCAGCTTTAGTGACCAATTAGTGTACATGTTTTTAAGTCACAATGATTTGTGTCTTACACATTAGAATGAGGGGGAAATAATTGCATTATGTAGACTAAAATGGACTACATATGTGGTAGAAAGTTGTTAACTTGTTCATTATTGTAAAAATCCTCTCTTGCCCTGCCTTCCTCCCATTCCCATGAGAGTGGTACTTCTGGAGCCCTGGATGTTGCCAAAGCTCCTCCACCCATTTATAGGTCTGTGTTCTGCCCCTCAGCAACTGTGTAGGTTTGCCAGCAGCTCCCAGGAGAGAGCATCTACTAAGAGCCCACACTACTGCCTAGGAAATAGCTTGAGAGTCAGACAAATGCTCAGACCTTGATGTGGTGGCAGCTTGACGTTCAGAACAGAATTGGAGGCAAATTTAAATGTCACATAGGTGTTTCTCATTGATTTCACTTTATTAGAACCTGACTGATTTCAGCCACACAAAGGTCAATAAGAAAAGGTCAGAATTGCTTTCACCTTTGAAAGAAATCATTTTCAGACGTGCCCTGCTTTCTCGCCTCTGGGACTTTTGCTGACAGACTGTAACTCAGTAGGATGCCCTCAAACTTAGCTGTCATTTAGGTTTGTTTGATCAAAGAGGGGCATTCTCAGGAAGACTACCAAGGCTGGGAGTGGCAGAGGTTTCATCTCCACCTGAGTCTCCGTTGTGAGCTTCTGGAGTGCTTCCCTGGGGTCCTGGCGCAAACATCCTCCTTGGCTTCCCTGTGGTAATCTTGGTCCCACCAGAGCTCCCCTCAGTGCCAGCAGCCTTTGCTTCTCCACTGTGCATTGCATCTAGAAAGGCCAGTGGTTTGGTTGTTTTTCCAAAGCAGAACACTGTTCCCTTGCAGTGACCCATCTGGGTTCCCAAGGAACCAAAAGACTGTGCTCTGCTAACTTCTTATTTTCTGGAAGACTAATAAATCGAGGAGAGAGTGGAGTTAAAACCATTTCCTGTAAACTTCACTTAGCAGGAATTCCTAATCTGGAATTCTAAATTGTGTGCCCTTTCTGGAGAGAGATCGTAGTTCATAGCTGATTAAAATCCCCAGATCAGTGGTTCCCCATTCAGAAGCATTTTTACAAGTGCTGCAGCAAGCGCTGCCTGGGAAAAGGAGCGGCCCTAATGGAAGCTCTGGTTGGGTTTTGCTGTATCTGTCCTCTGCTTACTTTCTCTCTCACTGTCCTTTCTTGATTCTCAAACCTCTTTCCTTTGGCAGGATCGCTGCAGAGCAGAGCAGTAGATTGGCAAAATATAGGACACTACGGTAAAGATGAAGGGTAGCTCATCCCAGAAGCAGGCTCCCTTTCCCATATTGCCCACTTCATGCATGTCAGTAACTGTCCAGTTTTTAGCCCACTCATTCCTCCCAACCACTCCCTATGCCAAAGCAAATTTTGAGGCCATTTTACAACTTGCTGAGTGAGGTTGTGACTGGACTATCCTGAGTCAACCCAGCTGGTGGAGTAATTTTCCCATGGGGTGCTCTTTATATGCAATAGCCCCTTTGTAGGAGAGCAGAGTTGACAATAAGACAAGTCCAATTTTGGACTTCTTAACAGGCTCCATCCAAACCACTTGAATTCATTAAGTGATGGTCCCATGGCAAATCCTGGCACACCTTGTCACTGTTTCTAGGCCTTTCCATAACACTAATTTTTGTTTGGCCAAATTGTGTGATTTGGTGAGATTCAATTATGAATGATAGACCCAAAGCCAACAGCAAAATCAGGTGCCTAGAGCTCAGGGTGTTGCAGACTGGTGATTTAGTAGCACTCACCTCCTTCCAAGTGCTCTTGTGAGGGTGGGGATGGAGCAGAGGTAGTGCGTGGAGGGCAGGACAGAATGCTGCTTCATGGATCCGCTTCTTTAGACAAGGTTTCTTTGAAGAGTCCATGCTTGTTTTAGGCTTAGACTGGATGGTCTGTCACAACTACTTAGCTCCCTCCACCACTATCATGTGAAAGCCACGGACCATGCAAACAAGTGGGTGTGACAGCCATCCAATAGCATTGTCTTCCCAAACAAGGTGATCTGGATTGGGCCTGTGGGACATAGTTGTCTGACACTGCCCTATTCCCACAAGTAGGAGAGGTATTTGAATTTCCAAGTGACATCTCCTCTTACCTCTTGACTTGGAAATGGCTTTCCCTTCCAAAGAAACAAAACAAGTCCAGCACACCTAATTTTTAATCCTTTGAAAATAGGAAAGACCAGGCGTGGTGGCGCATGCCTTTAGTCCCAGCACTTGGGAGGCA